GACGCTGAGAGCCACTTCCTGCTTCACCAGATGGAAACAAGATGGAGGCGTCAGATTTCAGCGGATGGAGGATTTCTCTTTAAGCTAAAGACCAGGAGCCATTTCTCCCGTTAGCCTAGATTAGCAATTACCCAGAATGCCCTGCGCTGTAGTCCACTTCCTGCTCATAGAGCCTACAAACCTTAGTGTGGGTTCGGTTTAAGTGTTTCAGTTCGGTTTGGATGAATATGTGAACCCCAACTGGACCGGAGATCACTCCAACAGCAAGAAGTAGACTAAAGCGCAGGGCATTCTGGGTAAATACAACCAACATTAACATGCTAGCCAGCGCTAGCAAGAGATATGTCTCATAGTCTTTAGCCAAAAACTAAACTGCTAAAATCTGACGCCTCCATCTTGTTTCCTTCTGGTGAAGCGGGAAGTGGCTCTCAGAGGTTTTTGTTGTTTCCTTCAGTGGGTCTTAATGCGGCGCCCCCACAGGCCAGGAGGGGAACTGGCTGGTTTGACTCAGAGCAGACAGAGAAAGATCTGCAAAGTACTAAATGATGGAAAATTAATGGCACATCATCAAAGGACATTTAAATGTTTGTCTACAAACTGGAAAACATTTAGATTCTTCCTAAATTTAATCCAACTGAAAGATGGAAAGACTTCAAAGTTATTTTCATTTTCTGTAATTTTGATCTTTTCCTTAATTTGTTAGCGACTCGATGAAGCAGTGAGGAGTTGGTTCTTCTACAGGAATTTAAATAACATCTCTGGCTGCTAAACTCTTTCACTCCTTCATTTCTGTCTGCATCAAACTGAAGAACCTACAGCAGAGGTGGACCCTCCTCTTCCTCACTTTGTTTTACAAAGACTGATGGATGCATGATGGATCATTGATAGGAGGACGGACCGATCGATAGGTGGAGGAGAGGCAGAAAGTAGGCCACCCATCTGTTCAGGCTCATCCATCTATCTGCTGGAAGTTCGATTTCTAATCTGGGGACAAAGAGACGAGGAAGATGAGGTGAAATGACAGATTACGAAACAAAAATATATGGCCCAAAAAGATGAGGGAAAATAATCTGATGGAGGACAAAAAGGAGAAAAATTACTTTATCTTCATTTTAAAGTGAGTTTTTCTTCAAGAAGGTCAAAGAAGTAGGAGGAGAAGGAAGGAAGTGAATCAATACAAAATAAAATAAATATAAAGAGGAAGAAACTGGAAGCTTTTATCCACCAACAGGAAGTTTAGAAAGTCCAGGTGTGAATGCTAAGCTCCAAATGCAGGAAGTGGACTATAGTGCAGGGCATGCTGGGTAAATACAACCAAAACAAATGTGTTAGCCTAGCGCTAGCAGGAGGAATAGCTAATGGTTTGGAAATCCTCCTAAACTCTGACGCCCCCATTTTGTTTCCATCTGGTGAAACAGTAAATGGCTCTCAGCGTCTCCAGAGGTTTTAGTGTCGTTTCCTTCAGTGGTTCTTGGTGCAGCGCCCCCACAGGCCAGGAGGGGAACAGGCTGGCTTGACTCAGAACCACAGCAGCTGGAGGTGGAGCAGATGGTGCAACTTTTGTTCATCAATCGAACCAAATCTGATGTTTCCATTCACCTGCACAACGGATTCAAGTGACTGAATTCACTTCTGGGATGGTCATAATGTTCTGCAGAGGCCCGGTTATCGTCCAATTGTTTGGTCCAGTTGTATAAAACCAGGAAACATCCAGAACAGGCAGGACTTCGACCCTTTCAGGCACTGCTGACCTTTAACCTTTAGCATCTTGGAACAAACAAGAGGTGTTCAGTGCACATCTGGAGCTGATTGGGGAGTCGGAAAGTTTTCCTCCTGCTAATATTAAAACAAATAAGTGAAGAGGGAGGTGGAGCGTCAGGCGGACTTAAAGGAAAGTTGACAGAATGTGGACAGGAAGTTTAAGAAATAATGACAGAAAAGAAGAGTGATTGTTTCTTTCCTCTTTTCTTCAAACCAGCAGCCTGAAACAAATGACGGGAAGGAAATGGGATGAAGCAGAAGGACAGTAGCAGAGATAAGCCTCGGACAGACGTGCAGCACCCCCCAGTGGTGGCAGGGAGAACTGCAGACTTTATAAAAGCTCCACATCGTTTCACTGATGCAGTTAATTCCTAATTTCCTGTTTCACTGCCGCTCTGCTGATGAGAATAAATGAGTCTCTCGCCTCTTTTGAGGATGTAATAAAACATTAAATAGATGATATTTCCTCCACAGCTTCTACCTGGACTGTGTGTCGAAAGTTTCAGAAAGGTGCAATTAAAGGAACGTTCTGCTGTTTCCACCAGATTCTGACGTTTCTGAAGTTCATTTTTACGGTAATATATTTGAGTTTTTAACTCTTTAAAGTCTTTTCATTTAGTTAGCATCTTTCCTGTTGATTTAGAATAACTGATTAATTTAAAAAGACTCCAGCTCTTATTTTTCTGAATGTGATCAACTGATTATTCAGCCATTTCTCCAGAAGCCTTTAATCAACTGGCTGACTCGCTCTTTGGTTGCCTAGCAACAGCCTGCTGAGTAACTGGCACAGCAGCAGTTTAAAGTTTTGCCAAAACAGCTTAAAAAATAAAAACGTCTTGGAGAGAAAATGAATAAAACAGGAGAAACTTCTCCACCTGTTTCTGATATTTCAGATATTTAAAGCAAAAAAAGCGAATCAATAATTATTGATATTGACTGATTTGAAATGTTTTTTTGTGATCAGTTTTCAGTCAGAACAGAAACCTGGATGGCAGTTAGTGGTTTTATATCCAAAGGAGCAAAGAAAAGTCCTGACCTTTGACCTGCCGCAGAACAAACAGACCAAATATCGACACGTCGACGGGTTACTTTCAGCCATCTTTCTCCATCTGTCTGTAAGTGAAACATATGAACTGAAGCTGCACAGCAGATATGAAAGTACAGCAGCCAATCAGATTCCAGTAATCCTCTCCCCCCCGCCCCCCCTGGTGTTCATTTCGAAGATGGATCCCCTCTCTGGTTGGAGGCGACAGGGTCATCAGCAGGATCCGGTCAGCTGAGAAGAACCCGCTCAGAATTAAAGACATGATGGATGGATGGATCCTGGACCATTTGTCCTCCATGTTTGACGGCTGGTGACATGACCCACAGAACCAGGGGGCGGGGCTAGTTCCGCTGTAATCCCGCGTCTCATTTATCTGGGATTAATTAGCAGGAAGGTCCGTCGGCTTCCTGTCTCCTTAACGAGGCTTGTTAGGAGGAAAATGTGCTGATTGGTGGAAACTTCCAGCTGCCTCCTGATTGGTCCGTCTCTCCTCCTGGATTCCTGCAAACTTTAGACTTTCAGCAGAAAATGAGAACAATTCGAATTCCCTCAGGAACCAATTATATTCAATCACACACACACACACACACACCCACAAACACACACACACACACACACACACACACACACACACACACACACACACGCTGCAGTGACTCATTCACACTGCAGTGTTTACAGGAAATGTGACAGTTTGCTTCAGATGCTGCCAAACCAACAGGAGGTTCATCTGGAAGCTCTGGAAACCTTAAAGGTTCAAACATGATGACGAGACCCAACAGGTTCACCTCAGTGGGTTAAAACAGCAGAAATAAATCGATTTTAGTTTAATGAATCAAAAGAAAACATGGAAATATTTCAAGCTATTTAAAATCCAAAAATTCAGTTTTGACCATCAAAGTTGGCGAATAAATTAAAATAATTAACCCACAAAATGTCTTTGGAAAGTTCAGTGGAAGGAAAAAGTTTTGTTGTACAGTATGTTATTATTGCAACATTTAAATGCACAATATTAATACTTTGAATCACTTATTATTTTGTTATTATGAGCCAACAATATGCATATTAATGTAATATTAATATGCATCGTAGTGGGAGGAGTCTCTGCATTCGTCACCGTGGTAATGTCAGAAACCAGCGCTAACCTGTTGCGCAGGGTTTAGGTTTTGGCATAAGGGCTAAAATTATCGAGTTGAAAATACATGTGGCCACAAAAAGGGCCTTTTTATTTAATCTGCTGAATGATAAATAACAATAAAAAACAATTTTATTAAAATCAACAAAATAGTTGGAACATGGATCAACAGTTTCTACCTTTTCAGAGTTGATTACATGGATTTTGACCCAGAATTTGTCATTTATTGTGAAAAAATTTATCTGAGAACAAAATAGACAAAACTATCCAAACCTGTTTAAAGAAGCGTAATCACATTTTTAATTTTAGGAAAAATAAAAATGTTTATTAAGACCCAAAATCTAAGATGGCTGCCGAACATGAAACAGAGTGATAGCTTCAGTAAAAAACCCAAAAAGACTCAAAGATCTTCCATTTACCAAACATTGTGATGATCTGGAAAGTTTGGGGAAAATATCCTCTGAACCGACGACACAAAAGTAGATTTTAGTTCTTAGGATTTCTTTCTCCCGTTAGCACTAGGCTAACACATTTGTTTTGGTTGTATTTACCCAGAATTCCTTGCGCTGTTGTGCACTTCCTGCTTTTGGAGCGCTCTCTGGTTCGCTTGGGATTCACATTCAAATCGACCAGAGTTCACTTTTTGGTCCGATTAGCATTCACACCTGCAGAAACGAACTGGACTTTCTAAACAAACCAGAGAGGCTTGTTGTGGTGAAGAAAGAGCCAAACAGCAAATCTCTCGATTTACTCATCCTCCGACATCCGAAGCCTCGTCTGCATTTATGCAACATGGAACTAAAATAAAGATCCTGATGCCGCTCAAAGTTTTACTGAACATTTAATTAAACTGGATTTGCATTTCTCGGAGAAGCCACCTGCACCTGTTTGGTCCATATGACATATTTAATGCCTGAGGTTCGACCTTATCAGTCGATCTGTTTACTTTCCCATTTCATCACTTTCCTTGTCACAGCAGGATGAATTTTGTTTGTACTGGAAGCTCATAAAACTATCAGAGAGAAGCTTTGAGTGAGGACAGTTTCTGTTTTATGGCAGGTTATGGGCGGAGCTTCCCCAACATCAACCTGAAACAGGACAGACTTGTGTCAGAAGAGCGCAGTTGTTCCACGTTTCAGCCCGGTTCCGGCCCGGTTCCAGCTCGGTTCCAGCCCGGTTCAAGCTCGGCCCGGTGAGTCCTACTACAGCTGCTGCAGAGACAACAAACCAACCAGACTGATCTGCTTTCATTCCACCTGCAAACCTTCTGTTTTCTCAGGGGATTTTTTCTTCTGCATTTTCTTGTCATTATGTTTTTACTCCCCAGTTCATGCAGCAGCTTGAAGACTGAAGGTCTTGCACTACGATGTAAAGTTTTTTTATGTAGTTTTTTGAAGTTTTTTATTTTGGGGGAATAAACGCAGCAGAAACTTTAAAAATGCAAAACCATTCAAACAGTTTTTCATCTCGACTCTAAAACATAAATATGACAGAAAACAATACATTTAGATTTTTAAGAGTTTTGTCATTTTGCAGTCTGACTGTTTTGGTTTGTCTTTTAGTGTGAATTGTTAATAAAAGTTGTTTTCATGTCCAATCCCATCTGAAAGATATTATTCAAACATAGTTAATAGAGTAAAGAGGCCAGAAACAAGTTTTCACAGAGATGAATGTAGAAAATTAAACTGACATTTGTTATCAACGTGACTCCATATGAAATTAGGACCAAGTATTCGCACCATAACAAAATAGAAACATTACAAGTCATATGAGAATGTAGTTGAAATAACAGAGGAGTGAAGTAATAATACAAGAATAAAGTCACAATAATTCAGTTGTAATATTGTAACTTTATTCTAGTATTTTCTCATCATATAAAGCATTTCAGGGTTGATCTGTAAATATCTTACGATGGAAAACTAAACCTACTTCAGGCTAACGCTCCAGATGTTTCCCATCTTTGAAGCAGTGGATTTATTTTTCCGTGCAGGATTCCTCTCTGACTTCCCCGTTTTCCCCGGAGCGCCGCTCAGCCATGCTGAGCGAGGAGCATCTGTGGTGCTGCATCTGCCTGGACGTGTTCTCCAGCCCCGTCACGCTGCCCTGCGGACACAACTTCTGCAGGAGCTGCATCCAGGAGCACCTGACCTCTGACCCCCAGCGTCGGTGCCCCATGTGCCAGGAGCGCGTGGACAAGAAGCACAAGCTGGGCGTGAATACTTTCATATCTGAGCTGGCTGTCCAATACAGGCAGAGCGCAGGAAGGAAACCTGGAAGCAGCTCAGAGCCGAGAGAAGCGCCGTGCGGAGCTCCAGTCAGACCCAAACCGCTGACCTCCAGGTTCTCCAGGTTCTCCAGGTCCTCCAGGTCCTGGCTGCTCCCAGCTGCTGCCCTGCTAGCGCTGCTGCTCACGGTGAACCTGCTTCTCCATCAGAGCCTGAGCAGCGGCGACGCTCTGCTGTCTGAGGCGGAGAGCGTCTGCTCCGAGCATCAGGAGCCGCTGGAGCTGTTCTGCAAGAACGACCAGGTCAGCATCTGCCGGCGCTGCGGCGCCACCGCTCACCGCTTCCACCAGCTGGTTCCGCTCAGCGACGAGTACCAAGAGAAGAAGGCAGAGCTCGGCAAGACGGAGGCCCGGATCCAGCAGGTTAGCACCAAATTAAGACAGGATCCACTTTGTTCCCAGAACGACTCGACGGCCAAGAAGGAAAACTTTTTCACCAAAAAACTGTAGAAAAAATGTCAAAATTATTTCTAGTAAATTTATTTAAGTTATTCTCACAATTTCTGAAATTATTGGTGGACGTTTCCTCCTCCTTTCCTGATGGCCCAGAGAATTTAGACCTTTTTAATCAGAACTTTGATTTATGAGTCTAAAATAATCTAGAAAATCTCAAAACATTTAGAAAAGAATGTTTGGACATTTCTCCGTTTGAAAAGTAAATAAAAAAATTTGACTTTTGGAAAATTTCTGAGTTTCAAAAGTTTCATGGTTTTTTCTTCAGGTTTTCTAGTTAATCATAAAATTTGAGTATTTTGGAAAACATTTACTCCAGGAAATTTACTAGAGAACAAAATCGATGTTTCAGTTTCAAATCTTCAACTTTTCAAACTGTAGATCTTATAGAGAAAATGTTGATATTTCTGAAAGAGAAGCCTGGTGGCCCGCCAGGCTTAAAATCCTCTGATGCAGTGCAGATTCAATCATATGGTGATGTTAGTGATGTTAGTGACTGTAGTAACGTTTTCTGCAACTCGTGACCCGGGCAGGTCATCTGGCAGCGGCGGCTGAAGATCCAGGAGCTGAAGCGTTCCCTGCAGCAGAGCGAAGACGTCGCGGACGGGGAAATGGCGGACGGCGTCCGGATCTTCAGCTCCCTGATCCAGACTCTGGAGGCGGCGCAGGCGGAGCTGATCGGGGCGATCGAGGAGAAGCGCAGAGCGAGGGAGAAGCAGAGCCAGAGTTTGATGGCCGACCTGGAGCAGGAAGTGGGGAAGCTGCGGCGGCGGCAGGTGCAGCTGCAGCAGCTGTTGGGCTCCAGCGATCCGCTCGTCTTCCTGCAGAGCTTCCCGGCTCTGAACGCCGTCCCAGCCACCAAGGACTGGACCCAGCTTAGGATGTGTCCGCTGGTCTACGACGGCCTGACCCGCACGGCGCTGCTGAGCGCCACCAACCAGCTGACGGACGCCATCAGGAACGCCATGCAGAAGCTGCAGGACGCGGCGGCGGCGAACCTCCACCGCTCCGCCGTGGACGTCCATCTGGACCCGGACACGGCGCATCCCGCCCTCCGGCTGTCCGACGATCAGAGACGGGTGGAGCTGGGAGACGGCGGGAATCCGCTGCCCTACCAGTCCAAACGCTTCGAAGCTTTAGTCGGAGTCCTGGGGAGGCGGGGCTTCTCCTGCGGGCGGTTTCACTACGACGTCCAGGTGAAGGGGAAAACCGCCTGGACGCTCGCCGTCGCCAGGGAGTCCGTCAGCCGGAAGGTCGAACTGGAGCTGAGCCCGGAAAACGGCTTCTGGACCATCCGCCTCCAGAACAGGAAGGAGTTTGTGGCGCTGGCCAACAAACCGCTTCCTCTCTCGGTGGGTTATAATCCGGATTGGGTGCGAGTGTTTGTGGATTATGAGGAGGGTCAGGTGTCGTTTTATGACGTGGAAGCGGCGGTTCTGCTTCACTCCTTCACCGGGTTTTCCTTCACTGAGAAACTCTTCCCGTTCTTCAGTCCCGGTCCAAACGACGGCGGCAGGAACTCTGATCCTCTGATCGTCGCTCCTCCGACGCAACGTGCAGAAAAATAGCAGCCATCAGGATTTAAAGAGGCAGTGTCACATAAATCAGCATGTTAGTTATTCCTTCGTCACAAACAAACATGGAGTTTTGCTTTGACTCTTTCATGGACAATCATTAAATCTCCACGGCAACCATTCAGCTGGGTGGACCTAGCTCCGCCCTCAAGACGCAGCTCCTCCCCCACTCAGCTCCTTCAGACTAGCCAGCAGCAAATAGCAAATATGATGGCTTTATAAATATTGAGTTTTAAATGAACTGCTTGTAAATAAATACAAATTTATATTTTTAATAAATATAAATCTAAAGAAAACTTTCTGGAAAACTGTTTTCCTGTTATGCATCACAAAGAATAAAATTTTTGTTTTTGTTTTTTCCAGTTGGAGACAAATACATTTACTGCAGGTCAAAGTGCATCAGGCAGGAAAACAGAATTTTCGCTTTTGGCTCCTTTTACGTTTTTGGCCTTTGACTGAAACAGATCAAACCAAATCAAAGGTTCAGCCTGGAGTCATGAAACCGAAGCTTTTTGTTTAGGGAATCGTCCCAGTGATGAAGGCGGTAAACATGTGACGGTAATTACTGTTGGCAATGAACAAACAATGAGTTCACAGTAAAATGTTAAACCCTTTAATGGCATCTTGTGTCATCAACACAATTAATTATCACTATTAATCATCACTTGCTGTCAGTTTTAACACAACCCAAACCTTAAAACCTGAATGTGATTGAAAAGGCAGGACCACACCCGCTGCTGTTTGCTTTAACCTACTGAAAATGAAAGACTTTCAAAACAACCGCAGACACGCTTCGGTTCGGCTGCAGCACAAATGTTTGGACTGATGTTTGCAGGTCAGACGATGTTGAAACGCTTCGGCGCGGCGGATAACCTGCTGGATGGATTCCAGACCAAGAAAGAGAAAACCTGTGAACATTTTGGACCAACCTGTGAGAGAAAGACGCATCAACTGAATGTCTGCTCTGGGACCCGAATGAGACGATGTGGACAAGCTGCATCCGATCTGAAACTACGATGTGATTCAGAACTTAGTGAACATGAAGAGTTTGAACAACATGGATTCATGCAATCAGTATTTAAACGGATTATTACAGGACGAACTCTTCATGTGAATATTGTTTAAAAAAATTATTACATTCCAACAGCAGATCTCAATCTTTAATTCCAATTTATTCATTTATCTTTTCATTTTGTGTGGTTGTTCCTATAATTTAGATCCGACTGCAATGAGACTTTTGTTTGAACGATTCACGACACTGAAGCACAAGAGGAACGCAGACATCCGTCTTAAAGGTGACCCATGATGCATTCTGTTCATTTTTGTTCTGTTTGGGTTTCAAATGATCCTCAAAACAAGCCGGGCACGTAGAAAACCAGCAGCTGCATCTTGAGAGGAAGTTGATGCTGTTTTCGTGTCTGGAAAACAAGCCCTTTAAAAAACCTCTTGACCGTTGAGTCACGCTGCACCGTTACCTAGCAACCTGACTTCCTCATTTGGTCAGCTGATTTTACCGCTGTACAATGGCTGCTGGAAAAGACAAGAGTCCTGTTGTTGATTTACCATGCAGAAACCTCTTGCTGTATTCTGGGTGGCTGGACAGGAGGCTCCACTTCTGCTTTTCAAAGGTGTATGTCTATGTTATTGCTCATCTGTTTGCAGATGTTTTCCATAAGAGTGTAAACGTTGAGTTGGGGGTCCTGGCAAGCAGCAGCTTATTTGGATTTAAAGAGACAGATGCCCGAAAGCATCTCGTTATGAAAGGAATTCAAAACGCGGCACAAATAAAGACGCAATGAAAACGATCAGATACAATTTAATATCTGGAAGAGGATCAGATCTGAAGTGGGCCTTGAACTGCTTCCCAGTGCAACGTGTTGAAGATACATAAACGATGAACTTTGCTTGGTGATCATCAGGAAGAGATTGTTAAAGAGACAGAGGCCCAATTTTAAGGCCTCAAAAATGCATGTTTATATTTCTTTTAAACATTGGAGCATTTTTATAACACCTGAAAGTAACAATGTTACCTGATCATCTAGAAGTTCTCCGACCGGTTGAGCAGGTATCCATTGAAACAGATCTAAAAAAGTCAACGGCACGCCCGGGTGTCATCACTTTGAAACCAAAGCTTTTGTTTTGGCTCATGTACTCGACATTCTGGTTTTTTATAATCCAGGAGCATTTATTTTCATTTATTTGATGTCTGGGTTCCTTTCATGCTGAAGTCAACTTTAAAATCTGCTCCTTTCAGTTCAACTTACAAATAATTCATACATATTTATATTTTCCTGCAAACAGATTACTGTTGTTTCCTTGAAAGGAAGGAAGTATTTAGTCGTTGCGCCACAGTTCTCACGTTAAATTGTTACAGAAAAACTTTGAGACCAAAAAAGAAAAACCTAAAACATGACAGAGTTTAACATGCAACTAATTATGTTTTTTTCAACCAAACTGATTTTTTCACAGCAAATAAAAGATCCTAGAGAAGCATTTTATTTAATTGTTCAATTATATTCAATAATTTCCAGTCTGTTTCTATATTTGTGTTTAAATGTCAGGTGGTTCAGGGACATCATCTGGTTTCAGATGAACATCATGTCACAAAAACATCCAGGAAATGTTTTTGTTTTTGGAGTTAAAGCTGCAGCAACTTGTTGGCATATTTGTTGAAACTGTTACCAAGTGTTGACAGTCGAGTATGAGACAAAAAATCAGGGGACAAATGGAGCTCCTCTGCCTTCTCTCAGTGCTGACTGGAAACAACCAATCAGGGCCAGGAGGCGGGTCTTAGCGCTGTCAATCAAGAGCACCATGGAGAGTAATCTCAGACATTTCTTAGGAAAAACTTGGAAATTTCTGAGTTTTAAAAGTTGGACATTTTCAACTTTTAAAACTCAAAATTTTTTGAATTTTTCTAGGAAATTTCTCAGATTAATTTCAAAGTTTTATGCGGCTCCTCATTTTCTATCTGCAATGGCCACCGTTGCAGTGGTGAGTGAAACTTTTCGAAAAGTGGGAATTAAAAACAACCAATCAGAGCCAAGAGGAAGGACTTAACAAGTGCTAAGGCTAGTTAGCATGGGAACTGATGATGGTGCATAAGCATGGGGAATTGTTTCGCCACCATTAGCACAGGTAGCAGCTCTTTCCTGAGGATGATTGACAGCGCTAAGCCCCTCCTCCTGGCTCTGATTGGTTGGTTTTGGTGCTTTTCTTCAAAGGGTGATATTGGCTCAAGAGTGAGAGTGACTTTTTCACAGATTATCTGTCTCATAACAAACACAACATGGTGACGGTTTTAGCGAATATGTAAAAAATGTATTTTTGAATAAAAGTTGCGCCCTGCAGCTTTAAGGCGCTATAAGCCCAACCTGAAGGATCCGCTGCTGTCAGACAGGTAAAGCTTCATCAGCTGCTCTGCCTGTGATGTTAATACTGCAGGAATAATTACAGCACAAACAGTTTGCATATCAGCTGCACTTTGCTGTATGCAGGCCTGGAGCTTAGCGTCACCACAGACTGGATGTATTATGGAAATGTGAAATGCATCAGAACCTGCTGCTTGGGATATTAGAGCATCAGGCAGATTATGGAAATATGATGATCTGGATGTGGGATTTCTCTTTCCCCTGGATTAACTTTGTTTTCTCTGAACTCATCAGTTTCAGAAACTCTGAACAGATGCAGTGACGTCTCGATGCTCAGACGTGTTTTAAGAGAACAACATGGAGCCGACATTATGCGTTCAGCCCTGATTTTATTGTTCCTGCTCTGGTTCCAGGTTGAGAGCCTGCAGACATTTTGTGTCTTTAATAATCCGCCTTTCGCCGAACAGGAAGCGTTTTTGTTTGATGACAGATCTGTAATGATATGAATGAGTTCAAACACTTTTTTTTCTTGAACTGAGACAAAATCTTGAGTTGGTTGAATTGAAAACTAATTTTCTGGTTGAATAAACCTGTAGGGGTTGAAATCACTGCCAATACCAGACACAGCAGCAGACTAGGGTCATTTTAAAAAGAAAAGAAAATGAGTGCATTTCTATTAAAAAATGTTTAGATTAATTTCTGAAATTTTCTAGAAGAAACAAGGAAATATCTGAGCTCCAAATGTCAAACACATTCTAGAAAAAACTTTTCATGTTTTCTTTTTCTAGAAATTAATTGATCTCAAAATTCCTGATTTTTTGGCAGGAATTTCTTCCATTTTCTGCCTGCAGGCCTGATGCAGCATCCTGCTGGCTCCATCAGCCTGTAGCATCAACAGCTGCGTTTCCATTCACTATATTATTGCACAAATTTAAATAATGAAGATAAATTTGCTTCATGGAAAAAAAATCTAATTTTTCAATAAAAGCTTGTGAGCACACAAACACACAGTCGTTAATATCCATTAACATGTTGCAGGTTTTTCTCTTTCACTAATGTAATGTTGTATCTTGTACCGTTATGATAAATAAACACTCAAAAAGGTTTTGCAGTTGGATTATGTAGTTTTTCAGCCGTACCACATTAAGCTCTGTTTCTGTTAGCAGCAGATTTTTTCAGATTTAAATTATGAAAATAAATTTACTAAATGGAAACACAACATATAAATAAAAGCATGTTGTTTTTTTTCATAAAAAGTTTTGGCGCTCGGGTGAATCAGGTTTTTTAAATGTATTTTTGCAAAACTGCAATCAGAAGTTTTTTTTGTTGCATCTCAGAAACGTCGGGATGTTACTGCAGGCGGGAACCACAAAGAAAACAACGACAGGAAGTGGAGGGAGGATGACGGCGCTTACTGTGTGAAGCAACTCATTGATGGTTTTACTTTAGCAGAATATCAACGAGGTTTTACATAAATCTGGCATGGAAACACAACTACTGATCAAATTGATGGAGTTATTGACGGAATTAGTTTTATTGAGGTATTAATCCAGGTAAAGTCAGCACTATCAGGCTGGCCGTTTTCTAAAGTCTAGAAGTGATAAAACATGGTCTTCATGTCCTTTTGGTCTTTCACCAACTTCTGTTTTCCAAAGAACTGAATCAAACTTCCCACTAAGACCTGATTCAACTCTCTGTGCTGTGAATCATCGTCTCAATGTTCCACTAAATAAGGATTTCAGTTACAGAGACAGATGGTCGCACCGCTGTTGTTCCCGTCGCTCATCCCTCCAGATTCATTAACTTCCTGTTTCTAAACCATGCTCCTCATCTTCTTGACCGTGTCTGATTAAATAAGCTGTCAGTCAGCCGGCTTTGATCCAAGAGCTGCAATTATTCCGACATTATTACCTCCGAGCTCCAGACAGGCTAACAGACCCACATCAAGCCGCCGCTGCGCTTTAATAGGAGCAGGAGCTAAACAACTCGGATGGTTGAGACACCAGAATATTAATTTCTGCAGCTACAACAGAAGTAAAAAGTTGTGACTTTTAGCTCAGTCATTTAGTACCTGATTTAGTTTTTTTAGTTGTCAAATTGAAAAAACCTTTACGTGAGAAAAACCCACGGAGATTCATTTCACTCCGTTTGCCTACAAAATCAGTTTGAATATGTGAACGCCAACCGGTCCGCAGGCCGTTCCAAAAGCAGGAAGTGTGCCACGGAGCAGGGCATTCTGGGTAAAACAAACATGCTAGTAGGACAAACGCTAAAATCTAAGGCCCTCAATTTTTGGTTTACATTTCATGAAGGATGAATTTGTCTTCAGAGGTTTGTTTTGTCATTTCCTCCAGTGGCTCTTGGTGCAGCGCCCCCACAGGTGAGGAGGGGAACAGGTCGGTTTGTCTCAGAGCAGAAACAGCAGCTGGAGGTGGAGCAGATGAACCGAGTCTATCGGAATACAAGGTGGAAAAACTGCCTTAAGATCTCAGTGAAAGTTAAATTAACTCTATTAATCCAGACGGGTATTAAATATTGTTGCAGGTCTCAGCTGACTTCACCGAGTTGCTTTCCATGTTTTCCTCTGTGTGTGGATGATGGTCTCAGCTTGATTGGTTGGATTTAACCTACTTTGTGTTGCCAAACAGGTGCTGTTTGATTCTACAATGAAGGTCTTTTCATTACTACTTAAAATGTTTTATTTTGAACAAAAAAATGTTTTCCTCATTAAATTTATGATTTATCAAAAGACAGAAGTTATTTTTGCCATTAATCTAAGATGTTTTGGATCATTTTTACATCCAAACTTACATTTGAAAACTGCGTTTTGCTTTTTACTCAGGATATTTCTAGATGACTATAAAAAAATTGTTTGAACTTCTTAGTGAGACAGCAAAGCGAAAAAATCGAGGAAATCTAAAAGGATTTATATGACGTATAAATTTTCAGCCCATATATCCTTTTCAAAACTTTTAGAGCCCCAATAAATGTAATAAAATATCCCACCAGTCATTTCAAACTGCAGCTCATGCTGAATGATGTTTGTCCTGCAGTATGAACGTTCAGCCACCAGATGGCGCCACAGTCCTTTAACAGAAACCTGCTACTGAATCCGGTTTTTCTTATTTCAGCTCATTTTCATAAACAAACTGTTTATTTTCACTTTGGAGACACTGAGGCGGGAATTAAACAGGAACAAGAATGTTTTAGGGTTTCATGGGGAAAAGATAAAGATAAACCAGCTGCAGTTCTTCATTTTTAACAACTTTTATTTTTACCCACTTCCTGTGTTACTGGGGATCACTACCATAAATGTAACTGTTTCTTACAGGATTGAATGTGTTTTCATTAATAACTTTCTGTGCTTTTATCAGATCAGAGCAAAGAGCTGAAAAATGTTTAGAAAACTCTGAAACTGTTTGACTGGTTTTAACTCCAAACATAAATATACACTAAACTACAAACTTTTACTACAACTAAACTAGTAGTAAAAATCTACTGGCTTTAGCTGAAAACTAATTTAAATTAGATGTTTTTGATTCATCTGGTTTTTATTAGTAAAAACTAGAAATTAAACTGTTAGTAGCTATCAGTGAAGGTTAAATATTTTTCCTGAAGGTCTAATTGAGGTTCATATTTGAAAGCAGCAAATATCCTTGAGGGCATTTTCCCAGAGGCAAGCTTGGAAATCTGCTGCTACCTTTTGGAAATGTTTGGAGATTATTCCCAAAATGACTAAAGTCTTTAAATTCCTTCGTTTTCTCTGTCTGAAGAAAACAGATGAGGCATTTTCAGGGGCTTGTTGTCCACTTTCATCCAGATAAATGATTCTTTTGAGTGATTTTACATCTTCTGCCAGTGGAGCCAGAATGTGAATGAGCTGAAAAGCTGCATATCTGCAGCGGGATGAATCGTTGCTCTGTTTCTTCCATAGGAACCTGTTGGACGGCTAAGCTCCGCCCCTTCCGGCTGAGTCAGGGAGGAGCCGGTGATGAATGAGAAACGCTCTCCCGCTGACGTCACTCTGCCGGTGTCGGCGTGTCGCTGAGCCCGACCGGGAGACGTCCGGAGGCGGACAGGTAAGACTCCGGTTCCGGTCCTGGTTCTGGTTCTGGTCCTGGTTCTGGTCCTGGTTTTGGTTCTGGTTCTGCTCGGTTCATCTCCCTCATAGCGCCTGTTTTCCCCTCCTGACGTTATTTTGGTTTATTTCTAGTTTCTGGTTTTTATGTTGTTTTTATTCGACCATTTAAAGTTGTCATGGAAACATCAGTCAGTTGAACTGCAGAAAATAAAAATTATTATTGCAACATTTATTTATTGCAGCTTGTTTGAGGCTTTTTACCATCAGCAAAAGGATTTTATGTAAAATTATTATTAACATTTAGTTTGTTGAGCTGCTATTTATTTATTTAGGAAATACTATTTATAATGCAGTTTTTTCACCTAAAAAATATAAAGTTTATTAATTTTTTTGTGTTTTTTAACGAGCTGATTTTTGCTGGATGATTTTTATTGTTTGGTAATTTGTCACTAACCACAGAAACTAACTCAAGACCATTGAAAGTATTTACTTATTTATTGAATAACAGCTGAAAATGTTTGTTTATAATTAAAAATAAATAAATTTTCCTTTTTTAGAAAGTTATGCATTTTATTCAAAAAAACTTATCAAATATTAAAAAAGAGCCTAAAAATCAAAACTTCTGTTAATCTGTATTAAATCAAAGAAACATTTAATGCCTGAAAAGTTTATTTATTGATTAGTAAATAAAACCTTTATGTTCTTGGTTTTATTTTTATTTTTTAAGTGTCATCTTTGGTGTTCAATTGAAATTTGCCTCATTAAAAAAATAAATCAACAACTTAAAAGTAAAAATTTCTTCTGTTTAGTTATTTATATCAAATAAACATTTAGTTTCTCTAAAATAAATTAATTTTTCCAATTCGTCTCTTTGAGTGAAGCTAAAAACTGAAGATTTTCAGATTGTAATCTAATTATGGCTGAAGCTGCTTAACTAGTGCAGAAAAAGTTCATGTTGTTTGTGAATTTTAACAGAAACAGGAAGTTATTCAACCAATCAGGACACAGAGCCTGAGGGGGTCAGTTAGAACAGAAACAGGTTGAACTTTGACCTCCTGGTTGTAATAAGTTACCAGGAGCTTCTGGCAGATTATTCCCAGTTTCAGACAATTCTGCTTTTAAAGTTAATTAATGTTTACATCTCTTGTCCTTAAAAGTAGAGATCAGATCAGAAGCTGAACATTTTTATCACAATCTCAGGAAATAACCACAAATTAAAAACCATTGATGTTTTTATAAATAATAAAATGATTTACATTTCACCAGCAGAGGCGCCAAAAAGTGACATTTTGAATAAAAGTTGATTAAATTTAGTTAGTTTTCATTTATTTGTTCCAGTTTGCAATAAAATATTTAAGATAAATTATTAAATTCTTAAAAGTGGGCAAAGATTTAATGTAACATCTCGTTTTTGTTAGAAAATATGTATTTTTAAAGTTTTCCCACTGAAAAAGGGAGTTTTTAATTTAGTCAAATTTTACTATTTCAGTCCTTCAAGTTCTTTCTTTTTCAAACTAAATTCAAAATATTTTATTGATTCTGAAGGAAAATTTAATTTAAATTAAATAAAATACTGCTTGCGATAATAATTCTTCTTCTTAAATTAAGGTAATATAAAATAATGATAATAATCACCGGACATTTGTGGCTCTGACTATCATAATATTAAAATAAAAGGAAAAATGTCTGACAGATGAAGAACATTTTCTGTTTTAACTTCAGTTTTCCATTTAAAAATAATATATAATATGTAAAACAAAATCTTACAAATTCAGCAACTGTTAAAATGATTGACA